TTATTTTTCCATATATATATATATAAAGGATTAGTTGCTTGTTCTAGAAAATTACCTTGAGATCCATAAGCTCTAATATCAATAGACACATGTCTTGACTTCCACCACAGCTTTTAGATGCTCTTACTGAATTTAACTCCTTCAAAAACTATTATGCTGGTTTTTGTTGATGTCACTTCACTAAGTGGGCTTTCTTTAGAAAGCTGATGCCTTTTAATATTGATTTTGAATGCAGTTGGTCAGAATGCAGTCTGACCTTTTATTATCATCTGTGTACAATAATTTTCTCCATTTAAACCTTACGGGGGGGAAAAATCTAACACCTGTCCCTGCTCTGGATTGTTAGACAGTTGAGTATCTCAGTGAAACCCTTTTCTGACGCTTTTCCAAACTACAACTGCTGAGCTTTTAAACAGACCCCCTAAACTATCAGTTGCTAAACCTTTACTGAATTTTCTGCAGTAGCTTGGACTTCTATTATTATTATTAATGAATTAGAATTAGTTTGGGATTTTTGAACTGCAGTGAGATGACAATCCTTCATACATATCTGATCGGAGAAATGCATGATCAGATTAAAGTCATCTTATCATGGTTTGCAATCCTTTACAAAGCCAAAATGAGATTATCTTGTGGCCAAGTACATCCTGGAAGTCTCTGTGAACTTGATGGACTTACATTAAAAGATATAGGCCATATTGTCACTTTGTTTTTTACACAATTTAGCTTGGAAAAAGCTCACTTGCTAGTTAAGGATAGGATATTGTGTTTAGAAAGATTTAAAAAGTTAGAGCAGTAAACTTAAAGTGGATTTTAAAACAATAACTTTTACTGACTGCATTTAAGAAATATAGCGTTTACATTCACCCTGCTACTGCCTCTTTGAAGGTTTTTGTTCACATGGGGGTGGATGACTAATAAAATCGGTTTGCTTCTGGTGGTCTGAGCCAGAGATTGATGCTGTGAGTGCTAGCAAGCGTGGGAGATGCTTCCTATCTACCGAGGGAGAGAAAAAACAAGCGAGGCCCTGCACTTTCTTGCAGAGTGAGCCCACTCCAACACCCCATACAGCTCCCATTGATGAGAGTGGCTCTTTCGCCCCCGTCTACCCCCTTATCGACCCGCATTTTGTGCATTAGTGCTTTGCTTGAAGGGAGGCTACAAAAGATATAGATTTAGGAGACTATCTTCTCGTTTGTTTCCCTGTATCATGTGATACTCTATAGTAGGTTTATCTTTAAATAGAAAATACAGTTTATATCTGTTTTTGAGATGGATAGGAGCAATTCTTTCTCACATTGAGTTATCCAGCTTTCCTTGGCAAAACTGTGTGGGGACTAAAGGATCACAGAGTTATTTTAAATATTCTAGCGTTGGAGGTGAGTGCTTTGATTGGATAGCAGGTGTAGTAAGAGAACGGAAAATGCATGGCAGTTTCCCCCCGGTGCTGGAGTCCTTAAGTGCTGCTTTCATTTTGTTCTGACATCCTGACTTTTGAGAACATCCTTTGTTCCTGCTTCTGGCAGCAAAAGTCACCTAGAGGCTTAGCAATGAGTGATGCCCAGAGACATTAAAGAGGCATGCCAGCTAAAGCGCAGACTTGCAAGTGCAACAGTAAAACAAAAATCAATACATTGGTTTGTGGCTGTTCTAATGCTAAAGGTAAACTTTCCCTCGACATCTGCTCCATAATACAATCAAAGATGAATTTAAAATGAATTTGCACAAACCATTGGCAAATCATTCTTTTAATAATTTTTGACGTTTATTAAGCTTGAAAAAACTCCAAGCTGAATAAAAGCTTGAAGTGAGGCCCACCAGTCTGTACTGTAGCTTCCTCAGATTAAAAACTTAGAGGTAGGTTTTAGAAGTAGAAAAGTTTATTGTAATTAGTAAAGTTTAGATGCTACAGTATTTGTAAGCTGTAGCCTTCTAAACATTAGCAATCCTAATAAAATTCAATAAAAAAGCAGGTATCTTCATATGCATTAGAATAGAGCTTAACCTTGCTTTTCTTCATATTTTTATTATTGTTTCTGAAATATGAAAAAAAAAACCTTAAGCATAAAATAACTACTAACTCAAATCATCCATCTTACTTTTTTAACCTTTACATTTTATTTGATAAAACCCTGGAAATTTAGATAATTCTAGTTTAATTGATTTCCTTTCATGAAACTTTATTGGTGGTTACTCATGATATTTATTATATTACATTTCCATTATATGTCAAATCCTTTCTTTCTGTGTATAAAATAAAAGGCTTCCCTATTTGATTGAATTTATGTTCTTGATGTTTTACAATATAGATTTTTTTTCTTAAGGTAGGCTTGGAGATAAATCTGAAGCTATTCACTGACCTTTGGTCTTTTAAATATTTTTTAGTGAAATTTTTCTTTGTGCCGATAAAAATCAGGACATTTGTAAGTCTTTTTATCTTGAGATTACCTGGATATGAGCTGAATATCAATATTTTTGGGGTTGAAGGTAAGATTTTTTTTACATATTCTGAATGCTAATTTTTACTTCTTCCAATAATGTTTGTATTTCCCTGCAATGCTAAATATGATATATTATACTTTTTTCAATTTCACATTTAATACAAAAATCAGTAATCCTTCTATCTAATTTTTCTATTTCATTTAGTTTAGAAATTAATCTGTAATGTGTTTATATTCTATACTGTATACTGTTGTTCATCCTGTTGTTATATATATGCTGCTACTGTTAATAAAAACATAGAAATAGCTAAATTACAATGCTATTTATGAGAGCAAGATTAGCTAATTTCAGTCAGAATTTTTACCATCTAATAAATGGAGAAACATTTCAAAAATAACCAAAGGCTAAAAAATCTGTGACTTGGAGAGGGTATGAGCTGGAACATATTTATCAAGCCTTTCAGTAATCTATTCCACCATTAAAAGTGAATGAAAGCACTTTTATTTCGGGAAGGGTTACTCCCCTCAGGGTTTAACGCTCCATCAAAGAATTATGATGGCTGCTCTAAATGTCTTTGTCTGGATTTAAGTATCTCTTTACTCTAAAGAGAAAATTGGTTTTATTTATTAACCCCAAAAAAATACTACTTATTAAAGCTTATACTACTTTTTAAAGCTAAGGCTTTAAGTAGAATTCTCTCTAGTTATACGTAAACCACAGATGCTCATGTGTGTTTAAGAAAATGGTGATGAAGGACTGTGACCCATGTCACTTGTTTTTAAGTCTCTAAATTACTGTCTGAAGGATTTTTGCATCATAAATGTTTAGATGCAAATTTCTTGTTTCAGGATTTGCTATTTGAGCTGCAAATTTATAATTCCCATATGCATTCACAGTCAGACATTTGTTTCAACTCATTATGGGCACATCTCAGATATTAATTTTGGGTCCTCTCTTTTCTTTACAAATATTCAACGATCAGATGCAAATTTTCATCGTAAGATCACAAAAAAATGAAGGAACAACCCAAAAATAAAAAGACCTTGGTGAGAAGTTTCTCTAGTTCTATAGTCCTGATTGTCTAGGGCTCCTGAAAAGTGTGTTGACTTATCGAGGAGATAAATTATCTTTTAAATCAGGTTTGCTGGACAAAGACCCACGTTAGGGTGCCACTTTAAACATACCGATTTGTTTCACCCCTTGGTCTGGATTTTTTGTGCAGCTACAAATGTTGGCATAGTTGTAGCTAAACCTGTGTGAAATTATCTATTTCCTACAATTATAATAAATTTTCAGCTGTAATACCTGCACATGCATGCAGAAATGCAGAAATGCACCATGCATAAGGACAGTTATCCTCCATTACTGGGTTTTGTTCAATGGGAGTGATCTTCCTTTTCTAGGTATAGTTCAGTTGCAGTGGAAGGTGCCAGAATTAAATAGTTGCACAGCTGATACTTTGAGACAGTTGGGTTTCCAAACTATAAAAAATTTACAAATTATACCAAGTACAGTATGCGCAGAAACCGGTTTTTGACTCAATATAAAAGGATAATATCATGCCTCTTTAATGCGGCCAACATAAACCCGAAATTCAGCAACTTTGCTTGCGATTCTCGTCCATGCCAGAAACTTCAAAGAGTTTAAATAAACTCTTCCAAGTAAAATGGTCCAATACCCAGTCAGTAATGGAGGCTTAACTTGCTGGAGGATATTATATCTATATTATAATATATATTATATTTTGTAAATGTCTAGTCATATATATGTTAAATACATAACAACCTGACCTTCATTTAAAAAACAAATCAAGCTGATGATGAGAATGTGTAAGATGAACACCTGCTGCATTTTAAATAGATGTTTTTCTTTAGAAAAAGCACTAAGCACATGTGAGGTTTTCAACAGACATTACTATATGTAAAATAAGAGCATTAAGAAAGTTTAAAAAGTACTTTAAATGGATGGCACCTGGTATAACGGTAGAAGAGATGTCACATTTTCAGAGGCATTTTTTGAATCAATTCCCTAATTCTTTCTTTGATCGTTTCCTGTTTGATTACCATAAAAAACACAATTAGCTCATATTTTGGTGGCAAAAATATTCTGGATTCAGGCTTTTATCAAATCCCATTTTTCCTCTCTTGGCAGTGCACCTGCAGAGCTGCTCTGATGAAAATAAGGGACTGTGAGACATGAAAGATCTTTCATTATTCATGCAAAATGCATTTATTGACCAAGTACAGCACACAACAGACACAAATAACCTCCATGTCTGCTGTTTTGCAGATTTGTGTTATTTAACTCTTCCTACCTCTTATCTTTTCTCTGTGGTCTTCTTGCTTCTCGTGTTGTGATCAGTATTTGCTTTATTCCCAAAGGGGGGGAAAAAATCCATAAAGCCTACCTTCCTAAAGGCTTACCAATAAATCTATTTACAAGGTAGATGAGACACTGATAGACGGATAAACATATTCACCAAAATTTACATTCACTTGTTGTGAAAGCCTAAGAGGATAGAGATAGGTAATCTTTCTTTTAATTCAGTTTTTAAATCGTTGTGTTTTTTTGTACAACTGTTTATTTTTTTTTATTTTTCCTTTGGCTGGAAATGCTGCATACCAGAAATAAAGAGTAAGTGTGGATCAATATGTGGTTGAAGTAATGCTCCATCCACACATGGAGTATTTCCATCCTCTGCTCTTTATGGTTTAGGTATGTTTCTCTGCACCGTTTCCTCTCTTCCTCACACAGGCTTATGCAGGGAAACAGATCCCTTCCCCCACAGCAGTTGATCCAAGCGCTATACATGTCCAGGCTTGGACAGGTAGGCTATGAGGGCAACAACCACCCCCACGTACATCCCTGCTCCAACCGTAATGGACAGGGCGGCCAGAAACAGGGCTCTTCTGGAGCTCATTCCCGCTCTGGAGAAGTCTCCCTTAGCGATGGCCTTGCCTGTCTAAAAAAACAAAGCAGAGAGTGATATGAGCTGCTGTGTGTTACTCATCAGCACAGAGTGTATGAGTAGGTGTTAAGCCACAGTTAAAAGAGAAAAAAACAAGAAATGCTCTTACAGAGCCATTAGTTACCATAGCAATTAGGTCATTATGCCTCTGACAGTGACAAATCTGTTGTTTGGTCTTTCTGGTCATTGAATAAATGAAAAGATAGAACCTTTTTTTTTTTATTGTTCTGATGCATTAGATTTTGTTCCCTTATATTTTTATCTCTTAATAACTGAATAACAGAAAATGGGGTACATGTGGTAAAACTAGCCTGGTAAACCAGCCCCACCCGCCAGCGGCCAAAATCCTTTTTCCCTGCCAGTTGGTCTAGCCTTGATCAATGCCCCAGGCCCTAGAACTGGCGGGCCAATCACAACGCAGAAATGTGTTTTGAATATTTGGATGCAAAGTGGGCGCGACGCTGGATAAAACACAACTAGGAAGATGGCAACAACTATTGAACATTTCTCGTTTGACTCAGCTTTGGGATCAGTTTTGGAAGGATTAGTCTTGGGGTTTTCGTTGAAACGTGAGCAGGAAGAGGCTCTATGCTCATTCATTTTTAAGAAGGACGTATTCGCCGTTTTACCAACAGGCTGTTTGTTTACACTCCCCCACCAGCTTTCTGTCACGTTTACTATGTCAACAACGGGTTGTTCTCATCAACAATCTTCCGGTGTCTCATTCATTGGGGCCAGACTAAATTACACATTTAAACTCACATTTAGTCTCATTTATCAGGCTATGATAAAACACTGTTTAAGCAAGAAACACCTTTTCTTGTCAAATTCCTTGTTTCTCACACGCCAGTTTTCATGGTTGTTATAAGAAATTAAAATGAATTAAAATGGACTGATGGATGGACTGATTGCATTAAGGATCAATGCATGGATGGATCGATGAATGGATGGAAGGAGAACTGGACTGAAACACAGAGTAATGCCTGCATGGATGAAAGGATAAACATTTTAACAGAAGGACCAATGGACAGAGGAAAAAACAGACTGACAAATAAAAGGATGGATGGATGGATGAAAGATCAACAGAGTAATGGTGAGATGATTCAACTGATGGATGGATGGATCAAGGCCTGACAGGTTGATGGACAGAAGGATGGATTAACAGGATACTACTTTTTGACGGCTGGGTAGCAAGTCTGGAAAAACAATATTTTTCCATAATTATCTGACTTTTTATGAACCATAATGTGTGGGAAATGAAGCCGGACCGATTAATCGGCAGGCCGATGTATCAAACATCTGGCTCATTAATCAACAGGGGCCAAAATATGGCCAATATCGATTTTTTTCTTTCTTTTTTTTTTGCTGCAAACAGCAAAGAGAAACTTCTTCCACGTGCTGATTCTGCTCCTCTGCCTATCCCTCGCACTCTCTGCACCTTCCCTCCCCCACAAACACAGGTTCACAGCTGCTGCATGGATATGTGGATGAAGAGGGGGAAAGTAAGCATTTTACTCCATGGTAGTGATGGGTTGATGACACGTCATAAAGCATTTCGGTAAACTAAAAGTCAGTTTGGATGGAGTTTAAAATCAGATAACTTCAGTGACAGCTGAGAGAAACAGGTTGACACAACAAGACAACAAAACAACTCGTGGTAACACGCTGTTAGGGTGCATTAAGGTGAGCAGACCTTTTTGTATGCAATAAAATATATTTCAAATATTTCATATGCACAAGTTTAGGTGAACATATTAGCATTTTAGCTCTGTGAAATAAACAACATTTTAGAAGGAAAATAAGATTGTTATAATATGTCTCATTACACTTCCTCCAAAATTCAAAAGTTTGTTTTCATTAAATTAATATTTAAATATATATATTTAAATATATATATATATATATATATATATTA